TTACCAGAAGGAGACACAAGGTTAAAATGAAAGTCTGTGTATTTTTTTTTCTGGTGTCCCAGCATAAACAGAAGCAAATAAAGTACTTTGAATCTGACCCTGAAAGTGCTGACTCATTAGAATTTGTACTTTAATACCTTATATTTGCCTCCATGCTGTTCACTGCTCCATTGCAATAAGCTCTGAATATGCATACCACACAGCTGCTCACTCTTTCTAGTATCTCCTGCAAGGGCTGGTATTTTAAACTGAGAAGCCAGACAATGCTCAAGGGAAGAAGTGTCACATTTTACAGATGGGGAACTGTGATACACGCTGCTGCATTTCTAAGTAGCTTTCTGAACATGGATATTTGCATATTTGAACAGAACATCTGCGACTTCAGGTTTAAAAGGCTTTTCAGGACTTTGTTTATCACACAACACCTTTTTCCCACAGTATCTCTCTTCTCTTTGATTCTTCATTGCCCTCCACAAAATATCTCGAGACAGACCTTTGAACATAGGGGGGATGCTCTGTGATCAAGGGCTGAAATGCACAGGCCCTGTCACAGACTGAGGCTACCAAACAGGATGGATCATTTCGTGGTGTACTGAGAGCTTACTCTTGTAGACAATATTCATGTGATATTTCATACAATTCTTACCAGGTACCTTATAATCTCTCTTCAGCAGACATTCTGTCTGTCTGCAAGGCTGCTTTTTGCTTCCTTACCTCAGAGCATTTCTTACGGGATGGAGTAACAGAGTAAAATCCCAGCAGTTATCCATGATGCGAATTACAGATGATACGTAATGAGTCGAGCATCCTACCCTTTCTTACCAATAGCTCATGATGGCAGCTACTAACATCTATTACCACGATATTAGTATTAGTCCCATTTGGGATAACAGAGTTCTCATTTTAGGCTTCATATTCTTGTCACTTGAAGATTGAATCATGAGGCCATGCTACATCCTCCTGCTGCAAATATAAGCGCCCTCTCCTGTGCAAAGGTTCATTTTGCAGGGAAAGAGGGAGTGCAGAGGAGTGGAAACCACCTCAGAAGGCAGAGGACTGGTAGGTATCACATCCTCTATGCATCAGTTGCAGAAGACATACTGGGAGATCCAACTTCGGGGATGCTGACAGCTGTATGCTTCCCCGCACACCAAGGAGGTTAAAAAAAGGATTGCATCTCTCTGATGCAATCCCTCCACCCTTATTTGCTGCCTTTGGTTTGTGCTGGTTTGAAAATAAGACAGGCATTCCAACCTGTCAGGGAACTTTGTCATCATTTCACTACATAGAGGAAGTTTCCTAAAAGACGTGTCCCACAGTGTGAGCTGTAGAGTGACAATATGCTCACAAAGAAAAGCCATTAGATTTTGGATATTTTTGAAAGGCTGGCTATGAATTAGGTTTCATCACTCAGTACCCAACAAAGACTTGATATGGGGTTGTACATGAGAGCAGGAACTAAATGAGACCAGCTACAAGGTCACCAACTGCAGATGAAACTGTATCACACATAGAATCTGAGTTAATTCATATCGGGTTTTGCCTCTTTTGTGTAACTATCCTCTTGAAGCAAAATTTAAGACAGAACATTATTTACAGAAAATTTAATACAGAAAGTATTTCTTAGTCAGAAATAGAGTTTTGTAAGCGACTTACCCTAAACATTTACATAAAAAATTGCAGTCTTTAGAAACAGCAGAAATTGATGAATAAGCAAACAGATCAGATATATTGTCTGCAAAAACTAGTTTGACCAGCTCTAGTTCATAGCCAGAAATTATTCACTTCACGCTTTACAGTCATACTTAAAATAATCAGCAATCCACTTATCTCTCAGGCACATTATGAATGTCTGAGACACATGTAAAAATAAAATAATGTTTTATTTATTCAGTAGCCCATTCTTCTTTAAATGATGGAAGTTATACTGGAGTAAATGCTGAATACAAAAGAGAGTGAAATTTTCTAATCTCAACCCCGTACACCGATGAGCAGCTCACCTGCTCTGAGCCTTATGTGTGAAGACCTGACCATGTAAAGACCAAACTGGGAGGCAGAGCCTAGATTTGGTTCTGTACACTCTCCAAGTCATCCTGTAGCTTGAGTTGAGTGAGTAGGTTGTGCACGGATCCAAATAGCTGTGTTGAGATTCAGATCTGATGTAGCAAGTGAACCTTTCTTCACAGCACGAAGCAGTCCCTGCAGGCCCACTGCAGGGTGATGTCTCTGCAAGAGGAAAGGGTGGAAAGACCCACACAGTCAGTCCACCCCTTAGATCTGCTCTGACATGGGTAGTGCCCTTTGCTGAGTCTCTTACATGTGTCCCAATGCTGAGACCTTTTCTTTGCCTGCGTGGCACAGTCAGATACTGTCTGACAAACCAGATCACATACTTTAATTTATCAGATAAGAAACATCAAGTTTGTCTGATGGGATATTTTAACAACACAAAATAACATTTCTATATGTCCTCTCTCAGCTGTAAAGCTGCTTTTCTGTTTATCCAAAGAAGTCAGGATTGGTGGTTCTTCCATGTGGATACATTGCTTGATACCTGGCCCCTAATACTTTCAGTAATCTGTCACAGAATTATTTGGAAAGCACCTCTGGAGGTTATCTGGGTAAATTTCCAAGTTAGATCAGACTGCATGGGTCTTTACCACTTCTGAGGCTTTTGGTTCAGAGTGTGTCTGAACAAAGAAATTCCAATGATTTTCTTTAAGAGAAGATGCATAATGATATAGTAATTTAGAATAGCATGTAACTTCAGTGAGGCAAAAGAATTACAGCTGTTGCATCAGATCCTGATAATCCCTGTCCCTTGCATCTATGGCACTGAGCTCTAATGTTGGTTCATAGAATTACAGAATATCCCGTGTGGGAAAGGACCCACAAGGATCATTAAGTCCAACTCCTGGCCCTGCGCGGGACCATCCCCAATAGTCACACCACATGCCTGAGAGCATTGCCCAAATGCTCCTTGAGTTCTGTCAGGCTTGGGACCATGACCACTGCCCTGGGGAGCCTGTTCCAGTGCCCAACCACCCTCTGGGTGAAGAACCTTTTTCTAATATCCAGCCTAAAACTCCCCTGACACAACTTCATGCTTTTGTCTTGGGTCCTATCACTGGTCACCAGAGACAAGAGATCAGTACTTGCCCCTCTGCTTCCCATTGTGAGATCTCTGCTCGTTCTCCTGTGGGCTGAACAGATCAAGTGACCTCAGTCACTCCTCCTACAACTTCCCCTCTAAACCCTTCACTGTCTCTGTAGCCCTCCTTTGGACACTCTGATAGCTTTATATCCTTTTTGTATCGTGGATCTGAAAACTGCAACAAAGGGCTTGAGCTGAGGCTGCACAAGTGCTGGGTAGAGCGGGACAATCACCTCTCTAGACACTCACTATTTATCAAAGGAAAAACATCAGAGAGATTTTTAAATTCACTGAGGTCAATATCTAATTTGCATCCATTTCAATCAGTTCAGAAGCCTGTTCCTCTGGTTTTTCTAAATTCACTGATATTATTCATCAGAGTTTACATTTAGACTATGAAAATCCTGAGGCTGGGGCAGTTTGCATTTGCATCTTCAGAAATGTGTCACCAGTGTTGGGGCTGTATTCAGCTGCTGCTGAAAGTTTGATTTTCAGCAAAGTTACAGATATTCTGGTGTTCTGATCTCTTCTTGATACCTCAGAGAATTTGATTTCTGAGATGTGTATGAAAATAGAAACACAGAATTTGTTGATTAGCATCTCAACAGAACTTCACATTTTTCCAATTTAGTATTATATGAGCTACTTTTGAGGAAAAAACATTTAATATGTAGATACCAGAGGAGCAATTAAATAATGGTAATAAAAAAAGAAACATGTAATAAATATAATGAATTGAAGAAATATCATTTTGGCACAATATTTCTTTCCAAACGAGTATAAGAATAAAACATAATATATAGAAATATCAATGGCAATTTTAATATATTAAAAAAATGTATTTACATTAATATTAACATTGGCTAATACTAGTTCAATTAAAAAATATGAACAAATAAGTTTTAAAATATCACAGAAATACAAAATTACAGATGAAACAAAATGATGCTGTGAAACACTTTACAAACTCGTACTTAGATTGACTCATGATCTTTGTCTGTTGGATCACATAAAAATATGAAGAAGCATTTATTACCATATTTGTACAATTCTTAATTTTTAAATTCTGGTTTGGAGGCACAGGGAACTACTATCAGTAAGTTATTAATAGTAAGAGTGGTAACATCAATAAGAAATTTGCTGCAGGGTGGTCTCCTGTGTGCACCTCCAGCATGTCCAAGGGAGTTCCCAGCTATGGGGAGAAAGGGCTGTGCTCTCCAGGCTGCCAGCCCTTCCATGTCAGTAAGGCACTTGGCTCTTTTATAGACAGTGTTAGCTTATTCAGAAATGAAACACAAGCTCAACAAATGTTCAGAGATGGCATAAAAGAGTCCCTGACTCCACTTGGAAATGTCTTAAGTTTTCTATATGTGTCAGTGCATTCTAGGTTTGGCTGCAAAACAAGTAAAATTTACTAATTGTAAACCGTCAAGCTTTAGAATTGTACATTTTAAGAATTTCAGGACAGTGTGGGATCTTGACTAATGCAGCAGCAGTACTGTCATTCTGTGTTACCAGGCCACTGTTTTGCCCTCTAATTCCCCCAGAATGTGCAATGCATACAGAACTATGGGAAACATTTTCAAGGCTCTCGTTGAAAGACTTACTCATTCTTAATATTTTCCACTGGTTAACCACAAACAGTAACAGCAGAGTGCATTTATGAGACTCTGAACATGTTCCTCCTCAAGAAGCAAAAATGTCAACCATAGGAAAGACATGTTGTTCTCCTCAGCAGTGGGTTGGTTTTTTTTTTTTTTGCTCAGATGATAAAACTGATTTTACCTCATGTGAGCAAAGGAATCGGTCAAAAAAATAAGCTTTTAAGATTTCATTTTGAGTCGAAGTAAATTACTTGGTTTATTCCACGTAATCCTTAGCAAAGCAATATTCTCACCGATGATACTGGTGGGCAAAGTTTATTGTAGGAGACAAACAGAAGAAATAAGAATTATTGCTCCCGTAGTGTCCTCGAGGAGTTGCTGACCCATGCAGGACATGCAAGATGATGTGAGCATGGAAATACTTGTGTCCTACAGTCTGCAGCCTGCAGCTGGCATTGGGAACTTCTTATTTGTTTCAACATCTACCTGCTAGCTGCCACCTTCTTGGTCTCTGCCACTAGTACAGGTCTTTTGAATGTTGGACGAATCTGTTAGTTCTTTGTTTTCTTCCCTTTGCCCTTCTTCCCCTGATTCTTCTTGTATTTTTGATTTTCTGCTCTCAGTCTTGTGATTAATGGATGAATTTAGCTTGGATGAGTTCAATCTCCATCTCCTCAGGCTCCTGTAACAATCTCTTCTGATGTTTTCACTAACCAGCACGTAGATGATTGGATCAGCAACACCATTTGCAGTGCCTAAACAGAGAAACACTGTAAAAATTGAATATACCTTTCTTTCAAATGGACATGGGCAATTCTGATTAAACATGAAGTGTATGGCTCTTATTATGAGTACCACATGGTAGGGAGCAAAGCAGATCAGGAAAATTACAATAATGGCAATAGCCAGATACTTCACTTTGGCTTTTTGGTGACAAGTCAAGCTGCTGCTACTTTTTGTAATTTGAAAAATTTTGTAGTTTGTGAAAATGAGGATTGTGAAGGGTATGGCAAATCCAAATAGGAATCTAGCAAAGCTGAAAGAAGCCAATTTTATGCCAAGGGGCACAGTCTCAAAGCAGGTTCTGTTTGTGTGGTTTTGCTCATCTTCCATGTAAAATACTGGAGTGTGGATTACTGCAACCACAGCAAAAAGAAAACAGACTATTATGATGGCTTTTTTCTGTCCTCTTCTCCCCCTTGATTCCAGAGGATACACTAGTGCCACGTAACGATCCAGAGAAATGCAGCACAAAAGCAGAATGCTGATGTATATATTGCAGAAAAAGATGAATCCTGTTATTTTGCAAGCAGTGTCACCCATGGTCCATCTGTGCCTGTTTTGCACATAGATAATCCAGAGAGGCAAGGTACTTATATACATCAGCTCACACAACGATAAACTGAAAATGTAGATGGCAATTATTTTATTCCTTTGGATTTGTACCAGTGTAAGCAGGGAAGTTAAGCAATTTGCTGGAAGGCCTATGGCAAAAACGATGCTGTAAACAGCAACCAGAAGTGGCTGGCTCTCTTCGTAGGGAATTCCTGGGCAAGTGGAGTTATTTTTTGTGTCTACACAGTCTTCCATTATTCTTATTCCAGCTGGTGTTTCCTGAGAATGAGAAGACAAGGCGAAAAGTTAGCATTGTATCACTTAAAAATGTGTCAGTAAAGGTTATGGCCCCATAGGTGCCCACTTGACATGTCAGGGGAGCAAGTGGGATGCTTGAGGAAGCATCTAAGGCAAGTTTTCCAAGTCCTGCTGGTCTTCTGTGGGGACCCCCTGGGAGTCAGGTCTGATTTACTTCCAGGAAAAAGTGCTGGTTTTCACAATGAATTTCTTGACTACAAGAAATTTCATTTTAATATAAAGGGTGTCTGTCTAATTAAATGGGGTTTCATGGACTGTTCCTAAACTGTTCCTAAATAAGACTGAGCTGCTGATCAATTACTAAAGACAATTCCCAGAGTAAATTGAGGGCCTTAGTCTTCAATTATTTTATTTTTTTTAACCGAGTAACAAAAAATGCAAACTGCAGAGATTTCAGAGGCAGACTTCCAAATGAAGGTAACATTTATCGTCACTCATGTGGGGGAATCATCTAAAGTGGGTGGTGGTAGTTCACAGAATCATAGAATCGTTAAGGTTGGAAAAGAGCTCTAAGATCATCGAGTCCAACTGTGCTGTTGTGTCAGAGACTACCTGGTATACAGGAACCAGAATCTGGCCTCTGGTGTGTACCTCCACACTTGCAACATAGTGGGTCAGGTCTGTCTCATTCACACTTCTCTCCTCCCTCCTCTTAAAGAATAACAGCTGAAGAAGACAAATTTGTAGTACGATACTACACCCATAACAGAAAGTCAGTGAAACTGCCAACCACATCTGTTTGATACCTCTGGGAAACAACAGCAAATAAGGGCAGTTAGAGGATGTAGACAAGACCAAAGAGAAGAATATACATGTTTAAGAGATGGAGGCAAAGAAATTTGATCCTCTTTGAACAGGAGTGGTTACAAAAATCTCCACCTTTTCAAGATGACCATACACAAAAGCAGATGTGGCATTTGGGTTGTGTTAAGCAGTGCTAGGGGCAGCATTTCTTGCAAAGACACAGGATGATTTCCATGCAGAAGTATTCTCCAAGGGAATAGAGAGATATGGAGGTGGGTGTGCCGTAATGGTGGTGTGTGCCCTTAAAAATTGTATTTTGCTTTATTTATGAGTTGAAGATGTCCACTGTATAACATTCTTGATAAAAAGAGGTCTTGTCTGGCTTAATATTTTGGGGATTCTCTTATGGGTGGACACCTACTCCAGGGTAACTAAATCCTGCTAACTCCACAAGGAGATGCGTTGGCAGAAACAGTCCCTTCAGACAGAGGAGGCACATGAGCTTTCACAGTCCACACTATGTGTGTGCAATTTTTTTAACCCTGAGTTAAGGCGGGGGGAAGCTTTTAGCAGCCTCTAACATTTATTTATTGCTTGTTCGGGCCCATCTCAAGCAGACCAGGGGGAAGAAGTGCAGTGGGATTGTCTCCTGCATCTCCTCCCCTCCATGTGGGCAAGGGCAGTCCCTGGGGTGGCACAAGCAGGTCAACCCTGAATGCTTAACAGGGCACCTGCCTTGCAAGATCCCTAGAGCTTGAAGGGCAATCAGGTCCCCTAACTTAGTTTGGTTACCAGATGATGAGAACAGCGTGAGAAAATGGACACAGGTTGCCTTGGGCTGCAAGACCTTCACAACAGCACAGTGCTGGCCACAGCCATAGACACCAAGAGAGGATCTCCTGTCCCATGTTCAGAGATGTTCACTCCCATCAAGTACCCCGATGCAGTCAGTTTTGAATGAAGATGTCCTGGCAAGCAAGAGGGTAGAAGCCAGTGGTACCTGCCATCCCCAACACCACCAGCAGAATAAGCTGTTCCCTGAGCTGGGGATGTTTGAAAGGCACCTCCTCAGACAGAGGAACTGAGAAAGTGCTGTGAGCATAGAAGTACAGTGGAGGGTGTGACCCCCCCGGGGACTGCCTTCCACTTCCCCACAGTAAATCTTGCTCCACTCTTGTGTTGACAGACTGGTGATTACTGCACTAATTGGGCCAAAGTATCTTTCCAGAGGGTCGTATCCCTCCACCTCTGAGAGCTGGACTGGAGTCTGGTGAGTATGTTGAAGCTCTCTCAAGGGGGATCTGAAGTTTTATCCCTGGACACAAAACCATCCCTCTCCTATCTGCTAGTTCCCCATTCTAAAATCATATTTTAGTTGCTAAAAGCCACAACATTTCTCATGCCATGTGTCACTGCATCCAAAATCTCACATGGAGCTCAGCCTACATAAGTAAGGTAGGTGAATATGAAGTTGTAGAGTAATTTAGACATATTCATGCCTTCAAAAAAAGTTAGATCCAGTATTGTTCCATCTTAAGAATCAGTGTAGAAGAGAATCCTCACTGCTGTGTGGGGAAGACATCACAGTACTCAGCAGGGCTGCTGCCAGGTTGTGTGTCAGAGGGTGCAGCTACTTCCCCCCTTTCCTAGCAGTGAAAGTGAGAGTTGGTGTTAATTTACAAAAGCAGTGGTTGAGATTAAGGCTGGTGGTGACTTGAGTTTTTTGCTGCCTCTGAGCATCTGCCACCCATGGTGTAGGAGGAGGGGTTTTCTCTGGGCCACCTCCCAAACTGCTGTGTACAGGGGATAAAAAGGGTGTTTGATTTCAGAGTCGTCAGTGGTTCTCTGCCCAGACTTCACCTATGAACTGACATACAAGAGCTTGTCCTTGACTCAGACGTGCCTGACCAATGTGAGAGCTGCTGTTCAGCTGCACACCACAGAGCTGCTCTACACCTGTGCACCACAGAGAGTCTTGGAGACCTCCCCTTCTATGATAAAGCACAGCAGGTGAATACAGCTCATGGGGCAGGAAGATGGGGACAGCCAGGGCAGGGACATGGCAGAAGTCACACACCATCTCAGTTACTCATCAGCTTGTCTACTCAGAGCACCTTAACAAAAACACCTCCAGGACTGGTTGAGTTTCTCTCTCCTCCCCTCCCTCTGGGCTTTGCACACTTCTTTTGACTCTGTGTTTGTCTGAATATTCTTCTTTTTGCACGGCTTCTACCAGGGCAGCTGATGGTGCAGGGCAGGAAGGAAGTGGTAGAAGAGTTCTGTAGACACATGGTCCCAATGTTTGTTTCTCTTGCTTCTTTCCTTCACCTCCTTCCCTCCCACTCTGCTCCAAGTCTCCTTCCTATGCTCAGCACCTGGGAGAGAGCCTCAGGAAAGAGATGCCTGTGACTTTCTTAGCTGTCTGCATGGAGCATACTTTTTTCCCTTGGTGTTTGGCATATGGACTAATCCACAGGGCTGGGGCTGAACTGAAGAGACCTTCATCTTTATAAGACTGTCAGCTACCAGGAGCAGTGCCTTGGCTGGCACAGTGCAGCTGTAGGTGTGGATTTACACTCGTAGAAAAAAAGCATGTGCTGAATGACTCTCCTGGAGCTCTGGCCTGTCATCTTGGGAGCATGTATCCTTCCCAGCAGGAATGCTCTGTGTCCCAGCCCCACATCAGGAACAAGGAGAGGAGACCATCCACTTTCTCCACTCCCTCACCTACTCTTGCCTCTCTGCCACTGGACACTGCATGCAGCCCCAGTTCTGAGCTTTACTTGTCTCTGCTAAGTTCTCCAAGCCTGCAGAGGGATCTCCAAGCCTGCAGAGGGATTTCCTTCTCAAACTGAAGATCACAAAGCAGCACTCAGCAGATAACTTACGAAATTTCTCCCAGTGACATTGTGATGACCCACGGTTAAGGGGAAGAAAACACCACTACAATCCACTCCTTGACTAAAGTCAACTTCTCTGGGCCTCTACACCTCCCTTCAACTGAATGCACATTGTTATCTTTTTCTCAGGCCTTTAGAGTTTACTGGATTCATACTTGATTCTGAGTTCTTGGCTTCCTCTGTGGTGTCTAGTCTAACCTGCATCTCAGATCTTAATTCAAATGAAAAATAATAATAATTACAGAGCTGAAAAATCCACACACCATTTTCTGCTAATATTTGCGATGAGCAATTTTGATTAGAACGGCAGAACTTAAAAGATTTATCACATCCAGCAATTTTCATGTATTTATAAAGGGTCAAGTGTAGCTGTGATGCCAAGGATGAATAATCTCCAAGAAGACCTTTGTGAGATACAAGCTGCTCCAATGCATTAGGTTTCTTCACTGCTCAGAGGCTTTCAGTTGAGCTAAGCCTCTCCAACGTAGCTGTTTTCACCTTTCTGTGACTTATCCTTATCTGCTAGGTCTCACCAACCATAGCTAGGCATTGCATCAGGTCCTGGCCATGTTTCACATCAACAGCTCAACATATGTTTATCATCACTCTGAGGCTTCTTACTCCGTGAGACTCACTGCATGTGACAAACCGCAGTCAGCATGTGCACGTTTGTCACTTTCAGGACGTGCAAAACATCTCATCTTCCCAGACAATCCACTCTGGCTCAGGAAGCACCTGAGCACAAATCACTGGGAGGTGGGGTAATCCACTAAGGAAGACGTGCTGCGTGTGTGCTCTTTATTTACAACCTTGCGTTTCTGATGTAACTGTGCTATGTTCACACTGTTAGTTGAATAGATAATTATGTTTCTTACTCCTAAAATGGAGTGCCTACATCCTCTAATGTATTGAGAACTTATGAAGAGAAAACCCTGGGAAAGGCCAGGAGATACCAAAGTATAAAGGGAATGGATGGAAGAGGCATGACAAAGATGAAAACCCATTTTCTTGGGGTGTGGTGAGAAAGCAGCAGAAGTGTCTTGCTGCAAACCCACCAAGCAGGGCTATGAAACCAGAGTGTGATTCACTGGCCGTTCCTCATCTCCTCTTTGATCCAGTCACCTTGCATTCCTCATGGCAGGTGGCCTGGATTTACCAGGAGGAATGGAGAGATGTTCTTTCTCTGGCTTTCCTAGGAAGTGGCAGATTTCAAATGCCAAACTGATGTCTGGTCTAGAACAGATCTTCTATATTGTGGACAGGGACCAAAACATGGCATCCATGTGCAGGAGA